TCATCTGCCCACTTACACCACAAATCAAGGCTGAGAGAAAATCGGATTTTCATGGTGACTCATTATCCTATAATAATGTATGATGATATTCATCGGAATTTCTTAGATATCGAGCTTTCATCTTATTTAAGCAGGTTTTGTAGAACACAAACATATGAAGGATGCATTTTTGTTGTACTGTACAGTACTCCAATGTGCACCAGTTTTCAAAACACCGTCAGGGAGCCTGTAATAAAACACCAATATGAGTTTCCTCTAGCAGTTGTATTTCAAAGCAACTCTGGAAGTTAGCCATAGGGATGAGGGCGGCCGATTGTTCCAAATTCTTGCCGAACAAATTGAAGCATTTCACCACTGGGATCAATGATTATTGTTGCAACCCCTGTCTTGGTGTACACTTTAAGACAAATCACATCTCATGAACATTCACAATTGACAAATATACAGTCGAGAACAAAAATGTATGAGCCAATACAAAAAAAATCATCATGTCGAAATAATCGCATAGTAAATCTACTTGCATTTCGTCATTATTTTGGACTTTCAATTCAGTACATGCAAAGTGAGTCTATACTTGATCGTTAGATCTACAAAATCACAACCGAAATAACCAAGCATAGAGATGATATCCTCTCTGTCATAATTTTGGCTAGCAAATTTCTAAAAATTTATTGTCATCATTTGTATAATCACTACTCCTATATAATCACTTTATATAATCACTACTATTTACTTTTTAGAAAAGAAATAGGAGATCTCTCACTACTTATGAGAGAGAAAGTTCTCCCGCTCAACCGTTAGTTGGCTTATCTTCTAATCTTCTATAATAATACCTAAAAACACTACATATGACGGAGAAAGTTTTCCCACTAAATTATTAGCAAGTTTAACTTCTTATACCAAAACCACTACTTATTAGAAAGAAAATTGTGTCGCTGAATTGTTAGTCGGCTTATTTTCTTATACTTAAAATCATTACATATGAGAGAGAAATTTTTTTCGTTGAATTGTTAGTAGATTTATCTTATCTTATACCTAAAACCATTACATATTTGACAAAAAAAGCATTACATATGAGAGAGAAAATTTTCCTGCTAAATTGTTAGTCAATTTATCTTATATATAAAAGCATTATATGTGAGAGATAAAATTATCTCGCTCAATTGTTAGCCAAATTATCTTATACGGGGTACTTAAAAGAATTACATATGATAGAGAAAGTTATCATGCTCAATTGTTAGCAACATTATCTTCTTATATTCTTATACCTAAAAATACTGCGTATGAGAGATAAAATTATCCTGCTCAATTATTAGATGGCGTAACTTATACTTAAAATAACTACATATGAGAGAAAAATGATCTCACTCAATTGTTAGCAAGTTTTTCTTCTAATTTATCTTATCTTATCTTATCTTATCTTATATACTTAAAAGAACAACATATGAGAGAGAAAGTTCTCTCGCTCAATCATTAACAAACTTATCCTCTTATCTTCTTATACCTAAAAATACTGCATATGAGAGATAAAATTATCTTACTTAATTATTAGACAACTTATCTCATACTTAAAATAACTACATGTATAAGAGAAAAGTAATCACGCTCAATTTTAGCAACCTTCAATTCTATAAGATAATTCAACTAACAATTGAGCGGGAATTTTGTTTCCTCATATGTAGTGATTTTGAGTACTAGAAGATAAACTTGCTAACACTTGAGCGGGAGAACTTTCTCTCTCATATATATGTAATTCTTTTAAGTATAAGATAATCTGGCTAACAACAGAGTGACTCTCATATGTAATCCTTTTATATAAAAGATAACTGACTAAGAATTGAGTGAAAGAATTTTCTCTCTCATATATAATTCTTTTAGGTATAAGAAGATAAGCCCTGATAACAACTGTGTGGGAGATTTTTTTTTCCTCACAAGTAGTGGTTTTGGTATAAGAGGATAACCTTGCTAATAATTGAGCGGAATAATTTTCTCTCTCATACGCAGTGCTTTTAGGTACTAGAAGATTAGAAGATAAGCCGGCTAACAATTGAGCGAGAGAATCTTCTCTCTCATAAGTAGTGTTTTGGTATAAGAATATTAGCTTGCTAATAATTGAGCGGATGAATTTTTCTCTTTCACATGTAGTGCTTTTAGGAATTCGAAGAGAAGCTTGCTAACAATTGAACTAGATTACTTTTCTGTCATATATATGTAGATATTTTAAGAATAAGATAAGCCGTCTAATAATTGAGCGGGATGATTTTCTCTCATACATGGTATTTTTATGTATAAGAAGATAAGAAGATAAGCTTGCTAATGATTGAGCGGGAGAACTTTCTTTTTTCATATGTAATTCATTTAAGTATAAGATAGAAAAGAAGCTTACTAACAATTGAGCGAGATTACTTTTCTCTCATATATCGTTATTTTAAATATAAGTTAAGTCGTCTAATAATTGAGCAGAATAATTATATCTCTCATACACAGTATTTTTAGGTCTAAGTAGATAAGAAGATAAGCTTGCTAACGATTGATCGGCAGAACTTTCTCTCTCACATGTAGTTGTTTTTAAGTATAAGATAATCTGATTAACAATTGAGCGGGAAAATTTCCTCTCTCATATGTAGTAGTGCTTTTATGTATTGGATAAAGTGATTTCATATTGAGCGTGGAAATTTTCACTCACATATGTAGTGCTTTGAAGTATAATAACAAGAAGATAATAATTGAACGGGAAATTTTTTTCACTCATGTGTAGTGCTTTTAGGTATTATAAGATGAACTTGCTAACAAATATGCGGGAGATTTTCCATCTCTCATATATGTAATTCTTTAACATATAAGATAAAATAAGTTGGCGAATAATTAAGCGGAACAATTTTCTCTTTCACATGTAGTGATTTAGGTATAAGATAACCCTACTAACAATTGATTAGAAGAAGTTTCTCTGATAAGTAGTTCTTTTAGGTATAAGATAAGCCGACTAACAATTGAGCAGAATAATTCTCTCTCATATGTTAACAATAATTTAACTAATGAGTAGGAAGTTCTTATTTAATTAATATTTGTTAATTTTAATATTTTGTATTCACTTAAATTTTTTGCCTCTCACTTTTTTATAATAGTATTTAATTTTAAAATTAATTTAATCATGAGTGTTGACAATTAGTTTTCCTCAACCAATGAGTGTTGACAATTATTTTTTTGCCTCTCACTTTTTTGCCTCAACTAATGAGTGTTGACAATTAATTTTCCATAATATACTCTTCATAAAATATTTATTGTATGTTTATTAGCTTATTGTACTCTTAATTTTTGAAAATGTAGAATTCTAAAAAGTTATTTTTATTTTAATAATTAATTAGATCATGAGTAAAATATATGCACCAACTATTCTTTCCCGTGCGTATGCACGGGTACTATACTAGTTATTTAACTAAAAATGTTGCCCCATACTATGATGATAATTTGCACCACTGGCCGAGTTTGGTCATCGCAATTCGCAACAAACAATGCATACATGTATTAGTATAACTAAATGTGGTTGTACAACCACATTTGTTAGGTTTTACTTATTGGCTTCCTCACTTTATGCGTGTTTCTAACGAAATACGAAGTAATAGGAGATAAAATTGTGTTTTTACGGTGAGTTAATTAAACAATTAGTGAAAATAAATGTTTCGTTGACCAATAATCACTAGTAAAAAAATGGCTTATAGTGACATTAAATTAGTGTCACTAAACGATTTGGTGACACTCTGAAAGTGTCACAGACAATGGGGGCAAGTGACACAAAATTTAGTGTCACTGGTTGCTAAACAGATTAGTGTCGCAAAAATATGACAATAAAATATCACCTAAAATTATGACGTTATAATATCATAAATTTTTTTGACACTTTGGTATCATAAAGATATATGATACATTAGTATCATAAGTATATATATATATTTCAATATACATACATATATATATATATATATTATACATGTAATATAATTTAATACTAATAAATAACCAAAATTCAAAGATTTTTATTTATATCTCAATTTTTCACATAAATGTGAATGTACATACTACATAATTCATGGGGACACACCCGGAAACAACAACTAATAATATACAAGAACAAAACGCTAATATGTCTAACTTTTACACCACACTTCCTAGGGCCTTCACATATCTTCTTTTGTAGACTTGCACAGAATGAAACCAGTTCTTATGCTACCAACTTCATCGTTTGAACCCTCACTTGCTTCTATCATACTTCACCTGCAAAGTGAACATTACATTAATCACACACTAGTTCAACTTAGTACATCTTTCCTATAAATAAGTAAAATTTCACCTCTAAACTACAAAATAAAACAACTAAGCAAAAATGGAATTACAAAACATTGCCAAAATTCTAAACAAGTAAATAAGAAAATAAAAAAGAATGAAAGAAAGTGGTGAGTTACTACTGTCAATGCTTTGCCCCAGGCCATTATTAGCTAGTGATATAGCTAGTGAATTGTACTCTTACACTTCACCTCATATGCTAGTGCAAAAAGCATACCTCTCATAAACATATAATGCTCTCCACTAGCTTCAGCTAAGCCTGCACTCCTGTTTGTCTGCTTGATGAAAACAGTCATAGAATATCTGAGTTCTAAAAAAATAATGTTGCCGGTAACATAACTTAAATTAAAACCCATGGAAGAAGACCGAGCTTCAGATTACTGTGCCTTGCCAACTACCATTTCTTTGGATATGGAAAATCGCAATGTCAGTTCTGAAACCTCTTCTATACATTTGCCACATCAACTTTTTGGAGCTCATCATAAATCAGAAAGTACTGAGCCTGCCACAGTCATGAATTCTGTGGCTGTTCCAAAATTTACACCTCCCTCTGGGCATGATATTCAATTCAGTCTTGATAAGAAAAGTGAACATGTACAACCAATACCTGAATGCCTTAAGAATCAACAATGTGAAGGTGATCAAAGAGCCTTTGAAATGTCCGTGGTAAATAATGAAATGAAGGATGTTGAGTCATCTTCTCTGAAGGACACGAAGAGTACTGCATCATGTGAAGTTAAGAAATCCATAGAGAAGAAACCAAAAAAGAAAAAGTCTGGTAAAATGCAGGCTGTTGACAGCGGGAATGGATCGTCTCAGACAAAAAAACTCAAAGTCATCAGAATCTAAGGGCATTGTTCTTTCTCATGTGATATCTGAAGCACATGGTTATCCAACCGCATTAGATGTAGCCTCTGAACCTGAAACATTGGAGTATTGGACAGGAAAAAAAACAAAGTTGTGGTCAATAATGTGAATGCACAACCAGAGGGAAGTGAAAATGATGGAACAAAGGTGTCTGATATTGAAGATGATGGTGAACCTTTCATCGTTCAAACTCCTAATTTTGCAGTGTTGTTATGATAATGGTTTGAAAATATATCATATCATATTTTCAATTTCTTAGTATTGTACTATCTCTGTTTTTTTGTCCTGGAATGGTGCAGTGGTGCACTAAAGTTTTGATGTACATGCTCAACTCTTGTGGAGCCTTAATGCACATGTGGAAGACTGGAAGTTATATTAGGACATTATAAGTATTAAACTGATTTACAATGACCTATATTTCATTAAGAGTATGACAATAAATAGTTTCTAGCAAGGTAGTCAAAGTTGTGAGGCGCAAGGTGCAAAAAAACGCTCACCTGACTCATATAAGGCGCATTACTTAGAATATATCACATATACTATTATGCAAGTATCAAACATGATGTATATAATGGTTTGAACCAACTACATTAAAAAGTCATGTTTCTAAAAAATAAAGTCATGATTCTATAAAATAAAGTCATGATTCTAAAAAATAAAGTCATGACTCACCAAAATAAAGTCATGCATTTGCATCATTTTCATGAGCCAAGTAATTTTGTTTTCAAGCCGGTTCTGTTTTTGCTGATTTGGCAGCTTCAGGACCTGTGCCTGAAGTTGACTTTTCATGTCCTGTAAATGTACAAGGCAGATATTATTTATACAGTACACTTCATGAAACTATTCACTGATTATTAGATTACATGGAGTGTACATGAATAAAAATATTAAATAAGAAAATGCTGATAAATGGAACAATAATAAGGAAAATGGAAAATATTGTCTAATTAAATGATTAGGAAATGGAATAATGAGGAGAGTCACACATGATAGACGACTATATTGGTAGTTAAGTAGTTTACAAATATATATGTTTGACTTGTATCGAGTTCATAAGAAGTAGATGCTGAAAAAAGAAAAAAAAAATGGAACCGTGAAGGAGAAGAAAACTTACTTTCATTGATTGTGCTGCCATCTTCTGCAGTTGATGAATATGTGGGGATAGTGAAGACTGAGGTAATGGGAGTAGAGCAGAGCAGGAGAGTTAAAGATGCAACATCAGTTAGTTTTGCAGTCTTCTTCACACGGATTCCATCAGATAGAGCTGGGAACTCCTCATATGTGTCTGCCGGGATAGCAAACCGGGACCTGGTCACAGACCCCTGCATCTTCCTCATCATAGCCGGATGAAAGCAGGAGATTGGGAAAGACAGTCGCAGGTGAACAACGAACTGTCCGGACTTCTTGGTATCCACCGAACAACCTTTCCTCACTCCGTCAAGGAGTTCGTAGCACGAGTATCAGCAACCTACAAACCCCAATTCCAGAAACAAAAACCTAAATCGAAGCTTTTACAGAACGATTTGGCTATGAACAGTCTCAGAAGTGAACAATAACTTCGCGCATAGCTTCAGTTCACGAATCAAAACCAAACATAGTGGATAATTGGTCGTGGAAGCTCTGGTAGGGTTTTCCCAGTGAAGAGAGAAAGAGCGATGTTAAATTGATTTAGAGATCAAAGAAAGAAGGGGTAAAGCTAAGTGTAAAAAGGCCGGCCCGTTTGTAATATGAACAGTGCACGCGGGCCTTTAAGTTTACTCCGCAAAAAATGTAGAGTGTCACTAATGATACTCATCTATTTTGTTAGAAAATGGTGACACTTTTATGTCATTAATAACATTTTAATAGCATTTTATAAAAAAGTGTCACTATCAAAGTGTCACTATAAGCAATTTTTCTACTAGTGAATTGAGTGACACATCAGTTATTTATAACTCACCTTTACTATATAAAACAATAAATATGAACTACCATATCAGAAAAGTCTTTGACCTTTACACATAAACATGACTACATCAATACCTCTATCCTCATTTGAAACTTTTATGTAACTACGCGTACTGCGTACATATCAACATACTACATACGTATTACGTACATATATGAATTAGTCAATATATTATTCTAGATCTCTAAACGATATATGTCACCTTTTGCTCCATACATAACATTAACATGCATATATATGCTAATAATTAAGACTTTCAATAAAATATTAATTCAATGTTGGAGGCCTTTACAAAGCTAATTAAGGTAAATCATTTTGACTAATTCAAGAACAATGCGGTATGCCTTTGGCCATCACAATCAACCAGCTATATATGCTTCAAGAAAGCTAAGTATGCTGATGAGCATACTTATAATAATAATAATGAAATTAAATAAATGTTAGGCCATGCACATCATATATACTGGCCGGTCATACTTAAAGCGCTGCGCTAGCTGTTTATTAAGCCACGTACGTTACGTTGTGAAAGCGTCATCGTGGAGTTTTTAGGTTATCTAATTCAACTTGATCACATTTGTTTAATCACAAAATATATATGAAGCTAATTAAGATCGATTAACTAACAAGAACGGTTAATAATATTTTAAAGAGCGATGCATGAATTCAAACGAGGTTTTAAAAGGCGTGACAAGACTCAAGATGCATCCAAATTAGATCTCACCACACGTCAAATTTGGAGTTTTTGGCGAACTATAGACATAGAATCACGTTTAATTGGTATTTTATGAAGGATTTTTTTCTCTAATATATTGCTAATTGTAACTTGATAATTATTAATGAGTATAATTAATGTGTTTCAATTTTACACCATATAACTATGTGTAGTTATTATAGTGTGGATTGAACACAATTATACTAATGAGTATAAATGAGTTTAACATTCCCAGGAATAATATAAATGATTCTTTTAGTCATATTTATCATATATACAATGATTTATATATGGAGTCCGTGTTCTTATGGTAAACATGCTTTATGCTTATATTATAATGATGAAAAATACAAATTTCGCTTAGAACAAAACTCAATGACTCGAAAAACTACCTTGAGATCTCATAAAGAGCTAGACGACCACCTCTCAGGGGTGAAATGAATCCCTAACTACTTCATAGATAGGCTTAAGCGTATCATGATCAATTCCGTATCTTTACCTTTTTACCGTGAATCTAATAAAAGATGGTTAAAAATTTAACCAGGGGAAAATGAAGTTGATTTTGGTCCCCATAATTCTCTCTACTTTCACGGAGTAGCTCAACGGCTAAGAAGGAAGAGAATGATAATGAGGACAGCGGACTCGTGTCGTGGGAGGACCAGCTTAGAAGGGGCAGATGATATAAGTCCAGTTGGATTCGTTCTTTGAAGTCAGTAGTGACAAAATTGACGTAGATGTTTTGTTAGGCTAGTTGATTTGACGTAGATGTTTGGTTAAATTTTTAATTTTGTTTTGATAACGCAGGTGTCGAGACTTATGCTCCCATATATAATCCGTAGTTTATTAAAGAACGAATCCCATTATAATCCAAACCCCCTAAAAAATAAATTAAATTCGAATCTAATCACACTCAATTTGACACCTTAGATGACCCCCGCCCTCCCCTCCCCCCGTTTTCAAACGATCCATGAGTTTGACACATTAGATGACCCCCCGCCCACCCAATCTCAACATTTAAGAAAATCTGGATAAAATAAGCTTGGCCACCACATAAATAGAAATTTGATCATCTTATCAGTTGACGAGAAATGCATCAACTCTAGACACTGATACAAATAAAAATGAAATCATTCACCATATATATCAAATTAAATGAAATTGAAATGACTTCACAAGAAATCATTTACCATAATTAAGTAGCTAGGCTTACACCGTGGCAACTCAAAATGAACCATATGTTGAAAAGGCGTGAAGATTTCAACAATTTTTACTTTTTAATATGGAGTCATTTTGAAAAATGATAAGATTGTTTTTCTACCTTCACCCTCACTTAGCTGTTAAAAAATGATGTGATTATTTAGACAATAATCAAAGTAATTTATGTATATATACTCCGTATTTGATAAATAGTTCTAATAGAGATATGTAACATATTAAGTCATTGATAATGATACAGATATATTGATTTAATATTTAACGATTAATTTATCATTTAAGAGAGATTCTTGTTTTCCAAAATGTAAATGAAAAGCCTAAATTAAAACATTCAAAAGAGATAAAAGGAAAAGTTAAAGAGAGTATTTTATTTTCTATAGCCTTCTTAATTAGGTTCTTATTGATTTTCTAGATGTATGCTAAATGATATGAATGGGTTAGTGAGAAACCGGGTGAAAGCTGAAAGTGATCAATTCAATGGAGGCCAAATGACGGTGGATAAAACGCTCATTGAATTGCACCGCCCTAACTGTGAGTAATAATGAAGTACTTGGTTCAATTGTTCCACCACCTACGAAGTCTAGGGTTGACCATGCACTCACCCAAACTTAATTGGGTACGGGAGCTAGGGACCATACATGTCTCTTGTTTTTAACTTTTTTCTATGTATTCCTTGTATTATTCACACTACCAAAAAACGCGTTTTTGGCACGGCAGATTGGCACGTCCAACATGCGTGCCATGTTAGGCACAACAATAGGCACAACTTCGTCCCAAAAATTGTGGGCATTTCAACTGGCTCCACATTTGGCACAACGAGAGCCATGCCAACATCGGCAGATCAACGTTCGTGCCAAATCCCGTCCGAAGTAAACGGAAGCGAAACTCGGTAACGTTGCCGTTATAACCTTGGCATGGCTTTAGCAGTGCCAAAAATTTTCCATTTGAGGACGTGCCCAAGGCCGTGCCAAATCTGTTCCTATGCCGGGTCTAAATACTACCGTTAGCATGGCCGTGCCATAGCCGTGCCAAATGTAGTGCCAAAATGTTACCGTTGTCGTCGGCTTGCATATGTCATGCCTGCGCCGTGCCAAATCCGTACCTATGTTCGAACCCAAATATTACCGTTAGCCAGACCGTGCCATGGGCGTGCCAATTTATTGTGCCAAAATACAACCGTTGTCTAGGGGTGCCAATGCCGTGCCTAAAATCGTGCCAAAACGTTACAGTTGTCGGAGATGTGCCAAAATGTCGTGCCAATAAAGTGGCCGTTGGGAGGTAAATCAGCTTGGTGCCTAAGTCCGTGCCTATGTCCGTGCCAAGAATTATTTATAAATACCCATCCTTTTTTAGTTTTATACTCACACTCAATTTTTCTTCACAGTTAATGATATAGAATGATGAATATGGATTTGCAAAGAGATGTTGCCTATGCTATATGTGGATGTTGAAGTGAACATTGTGCATTGTATTTTCTCGGAAGAATTTATATTTTGTGTCCGTTCGTAGGTATGTTTTTTCTCATTATAATTTTTTAATTTATTTAAGCTATAATTCTTTAGTTAGATTGATTTTTAATTATCTTTTAATATTGTAAAATAGTAGGGGCGGGCAAAAATACCGAACCGGCATGGTACCAAACTGGGCCGGTATGGTACCGGACCGATAAACGGGGTTTGAAACGGATCTCAATTTTTTTGTCCCGAACTGGACTGTACCGGTTCCAAACAATGCCATGACAGGTTCTCATAAAATGAGAACCGGTACCGGACCGAACCGGACCGAAGTATAGTTAAATTATTAAAATTTGTACTATTATAGTTTATCTAAAATTAATTTACTCTGAATTAGTTACCTTATCCGTCCCAAATTGATTTGCAAAGTCAACATTTTTTATCAATGTTAATGTTAAGTCCTCCCTAATGATAATTAATAATCCGTACAATTTTTAATAATTAAAATTTACATATGTAGAAACCAGATTTAAATATCTTTAAAGTTGCAAAATTCGTCACGAAGTATTTTTTTTCTAAAAGGCCAAATTAGAATATAATAAAAAAGTGAAATCTTAATTAAATGAATAATAAAACTATTAAATGAAATATGAAAATTGTTAAATTGTGTGGATTTTTGGAAGATACCTAAACTTTAATTTTTCCTTAAACACTTTGAGAAAGTGGCATTATTTGGCATTGGTATGGCATGACACCGTCCCGTTTGAAAATGGACCGTACCGAACAGGTTTAGGTTTAAGACCGAACTGAACTGAACTGTTTCAATAGTAACGTTACGGGTACGGGTTCGGCCAAATATTGGACCGGACCGGACCGTGCCCACCCCTATGTAATAGCATTGTATAATAGCACACATTAAATTAATTCACACACTAATTTTAAAACGTAGTTGTTAAAATAGTAATTTTATTATCACTACCCAAAGAGTGTGTTATAGGCACGGATATTCGTTATATCATGCATGTGTTGAATTATGAGTATTATGAATGAGCTTACTATACTCGTGGTTTATAATTAGAAGGTTTACTGGTTGAATGTACTTGCTTAGTCAATAAATAAATAATTCCTTAATTTTTTTTATATTCAGGCACAATGAATAGAGATAGAAATTGGATGTACAATAAATATGTTGACAATGGTAGAGGATTAACAAACGAGTTTAAGAATGGAGTTATTGAATTTGTTAAGTGGGCACAACAACAAACACAGTACATGGACGGAAATAAGATAAGATGTCCGTGTAAGGCGTGTAAAAATAACAAATTCTTGCTTGGTGAGGACGTGTGTTGGG